ATATATATATAATATATATAATATATATATAATATATATATATATAATATATAAATATATCATATGTATTAAATCATATCATATATATGTGCTTGTGTGTGTATAATATATATATGTATGTATATATGATATATATAATATATTTATATTTATATATAAATAATATATATATATATATAAATGATATATAGATATATATGTATATATGTATTTATAAGATATATACATATGTATATGCATATATACGTATATATATTATAGATATATATGCAAGTATGTATGTATATACACAATTTACGTAGAAAAATACTTAACAAAAGTACAGAATCATGTAATACAGAAACTGTTTGACAAAGGTGGAAATCAATTGTAGAAAAAGGGCCAATTTAAGGTAACTAACCATTTAGCAGTTAGATGGTTCTTTACATGGAATATTGGGTGGTTGCATGTAATTATGCGGAGAGATTCGGCTTTGCTCTAATCAAATCTGTTACAATGGGGGTTCAGGGTTCTGAAATCAGTAGTGTTAAACGAATGGTTGTGAAGGTGAGAGTGTTCTCTGACCGCCGAGGAGGATGGTTTACTCAGTGGTAGGTCAGCCCTGATGGACTTGCCTTTATGTTCGAGAATGCAGTGTGCACCTTGTTGCATTGTTTGTTCGGATTTAGAAAATTATCAGCAGAATTGCTATTATCAAAAAAAAATCGGAAACTGGCGTGAGGGTAGCATTGTTTCAAGATTTTGTTTAACGAGTTTCTGATTTTAAAACAAAGACTGCCCACATAGAGTAGTTTTATATATTTGATGTCTTTATTAACTGTGGTGATGTAGGTTTGCTTGAAAACCTCTGTCAAAGGAAATTATTCATTATTTTACGAAATAGGTGAAATGAGTACCTATTCGAAGTAAAATAATCTCTTAAATACACGTGGAACAGATATTGTTTCATGATGTTCATTTTTAAGAGGGATATGTACCTCAGAAAGTAAAGTCCGAGGTCAGTGAATGTTGTTTTCCTGTAGGTGCTGAGGGAGAAACCACCATTTTGAAGAGTAATGGAAGTGTCTAAAGATGCGTTTACACGATCGAACTATGTTCGACGGACAAAATCGTTACCAACTAGGAGTGGAAAGCGAAAAGGCTTGCTGATGACGTCAGAAGCGAGCACCAAGTGGTGTACCGGATACTGTCCGTGTTCGCAGCATCGAAACGACACACACTGTCTGGTGTGGAAGTATACGATGCTGCCAGGCACACGATGAACAAAGTTACTTGGTTACAGGATTTTCAAAGTCCGTCAGTTCACTAGGTCTCAATTGTCCTGTTAACATGGCAAGGAGAAAAGTTGCCACTGGGACAGAAAAGAGACCCTGCTACTAATAGAACTCTACCGCCAAAATCCATGCTTATGGAATGTCAAGACTGATGTGTACAAGGATAGGAATAAACGTGTCGCGGCCATCAATGAAATAACGGAATGAATAGAAGTGGATTATCTGTTACTGCTTCTGAAGTGAAAAAAATAGAATCCATCCGTAGTTAATATCAGCGAGAACTACGTAAACTGGAGAAATCAAAGAAGTCTGGGGCAAGTCATTTCATTACTTTCATAATATTATATACATTGTCACAATCAAGCTCTATTTACCTTTAAGTATGGGTCCTTAACCCAATGCCGCCGGGGAAAATGAACAAAAAATGGTTAATATGCTGTGCCCACTTTCTATGTTTTTCGTGAAATGTCTGCCGATAGATGGCTCTGCTAGCGCCTGATTTGAAATGGCAGGAAAAACGTATTTTTCACTAGTGCTATGAAAATCAATGGTATTATTTTTATCATAAACATTATAATTTTTATAATGTTTTTTAACATTAGCAACAGCAAAATAAGATAACGTAAAATATTTCGTAAATCAAAGAAATGGGTAAACGGGCGAGACGGGCGATACTCGTAGTGGGCTCATTGGTGAATTAGTACAAGTGTTGCCATCTATGCGTAAAAACAATCAAACAAGTACTCACAGTGGGCATAGCACGTACGTATACGTCATACCCGGCACCAATGGGTTAAGCACATCAGAGATGGCTTTGCACGTATCAGGAATGATTGCAGACAGACTCGGTTTTAAAATTCTTGTACTGTATTGAAGGGCACTGTAGGAGCACCCGGTGGAAAGGTACATCAACGTTGCTTCCAGACGTGCTGCAGGTGAAATGCTCTCCCTCATACAGGTGTCCTGCTTGGTTATAACAGGTTTAACCTTTTCTAGTGACTCGTAGAAAGTATTTGGGTCCATGCGCATATAGTTTGTGAAGTCCGATTCATAGCCAGTTTTCAGTTCTTGGAAAATGGTTGCATGGCTTCCCCTTTCATTTCGTTTGTGCAACCAGTCCTTGCACCATTCCCTTCTTGGCATCTCCTCCTCTTCCTCCTCCTCACAGAGTACAGCAATGATCATACCGCTTAGTGCATTTTTTTGGGCCTTGTTTTTTTTCCTGTGTACCATGGTAGTGATCTACTGCACCTGTCGTCCAAACACCCTCATCTGGTACCACTGCTTGTTGCCAGATCCGCTTCCATCGTTTCACCGCTTATGACGTCATCCTGCTTCTCCTGTGATATGGTAACGATTTTGTCTGTCGAACATAGTTCGATCGTGTAAACGCACCTTAAGAAGGATAGTTTATTGTTTTGTTAAACTTCGCAGGTGAATTTGATGTTGGGGTGTTGTGAATTTAAATGTGGAAGGAAGATTGATGTGAGAAAGGTTACTGAAAAACAAGAAAGTGTCGTTCATATAGCTACGATAAAAATTGGTTTGAAGTTGGAAGGGCAGTTATTGAGCCAAGCATGTTCGTGATAACAGAGAAAAGTATTAGCATAACAAGGGCCAAGTGGTGATCCCATTGCTACGCCGTCAACTTGGGTGTAAAGGGAGTCATTAAAAGTAAATACTGAATGGCGAGCAGTGATGTCTAAGGCCCCTTTCAGACGTATCGACTTTACGCCGTCCGCCGTCCATGGCACGACGTCGTTCTCTCAAATAACCATGGATGTCTATGGACGCCTTCACACGTATCGGCCGACGCCGTGAACGACTTGGCGCCGTCGACGGCCTCCGTTGTCACAACGGCGCCCATTTGAAAACGGCACGGCGTTGCGCTGTCGACGGCGTGAAATGTACACAGGTCTCTATGGGCTTGTTCAAACGTGTCGACGTTCCGCCGTCTGAAGTGGACGGCGCGAGTAGCGTCACACCACCTCAGTCGTTTTCTGACCACAGACGTGTTTATAGTATTGCTCACCATTGATAATGGAAGACGCTGATGTAGACGTTGGAGCAGTTGGAGGGCGTGGGCATGAGAGAGAGAGAGTGACAGAGAGACAGAGAGAAAGATAGATAGATAGATAGACAAATAGATAGATAGATAAAGAGAGAGAGAGAGAGAGAGAGAGAGAGAGAGAGAGAGAGAGAGAGAGAGAGAGAGAGAGAGAGAGGAAGAAACAGACAGATAGAGAGAGAGAGAGAGAGAGAGAGACAGGCAGACAGAGTAAAAAAAAAAAAAAAAAAAAAAAAAAAAAAAAAAAAGAAGCGCCCAGTGTCTGCCTCCTGTTTTGATATTACATTTCCTCTGCGACTGATAAGAAAGAAAAAGATGTGTCTACATGTTTCTGTCTCTCATCCTGGAATTTTGATGGCAAAGTAGAGGACTCAACCTGTTGAGGAGCTCATCGAATGATTCTTTGCTCATTCTGAAGTAGTTGAAAAACTTTTTTGTATCCCTTCTGAGTTCCTCATACAGTGTGACAAAAGCTCCAACCACTGGTCTGGCAACATTGATATTATGGACCCACTTTCTGCCGTGTGGACGTTGTTTTTTTCTTTTTAAATATAAGTAATTTAGGTAGAGCAGGTGGTCCTGTGTGTCCATGGTGAAAGAATGGAGGCAACTGGCAGGTGGACGGCACAGGCCGTGCCGTTGTGTCAACGGCGCCCGCCGTCAACACCACGGCGCTCTCTCTGGAATGCACGGCGCTGGGTCCTAGACGGCGGACGGCGTAAAGTCGATACGTCTGAAAGGGGTAAAAGATTTCCATCGGTCGTTTTCTTTAAACCAACCAAGTTTAGAGTCTAACGTCAAATAGCTAGTTTTGTCAGTTATTATTTATGTTGTTTCTTTCAGAGGGACATTTGTAAATTGTCGTGTCAAAACTGGCCGCTGAGTTTGAATAAGCAAATTTCTTTTACAAAAGCAAGAGTTGTGTATAGTATACTGATTGGTGATAAATGGAGAGACTGTGATAAGATTTTGGCAATGTTGTAAATTAAATTACCATCAGCCGAAATTATGGAGCGAAGGGATAGACTGAGTTTATGTATCTAAGGAAGGCCTGGCCTCCCATTTTAACAGATTTGAAATGAGCAAAGCCGAATCTCTCCGCATAATTAACATGAAACCCGAGCTCAATGGTACAACTATTGCAACCACCCTATGTGCAATGTAAACAGCCATCCAACTGTTAAATGGCTAATTGCTTTAAATTGACCCTTTTCTACAATTGATTTGTACCTTTGCCAAACAGTTTCTTGTTTCTTTATTCTTCGTTAAGCGTTTTTATATCTTCATTTTGTATCTATTTTTTTCACTGAGGATGGAGATTGCATATCCGAGATGTTTGCAAGACTGAAATTTTACTCAGCAGTACTGTTTTTCCTTTTCCTTACCACGATCAGATTACAGATGGACAACTCCAAAACCCAATCTAGAAGGAAATATGGCAGAAATACCCTGGACGGTACAGAAGGATTGAAATATATCTATATCTATGTATATATATGTATATATACGTATAGATTATTTATATATGTATATCTATGTGTGAGGATTGTGTGTATGTGTACACCATAGAAAACTTACAATGCTATATTTGAATTGTAGTTTTTATTGGCAAAATGCGAGTAAGTATTCAGGCTGCACCCTTGCTCTTTTATCTCTTC